GCCCCAGGTCTGGTGCAAAGTACGATTCCCGGGCCACTCCCACGCCAACTCCCGAGGCGGGAGGCCGGAAAGTTTGGGCGACGCCGCGCTCACCGGTCACCGAGCACCAGGACGCCTCAGTGCTGGCGAGGTTCCGCCCGCTGGCACGCGACCCCCATTCGCCAGCACAGGCGGCGGCGGCGGCGGGCGGAGGGGCGGGGGCGGCGGCGCCCGGAGCCCCTGAGGTCACGTGGGCCTGCGCGGCGGCGGACAGTCTGCACGGCTCCGCGCGGGTGCGGTTTCTCCACCTCGCTTTCTGGCGCCCCCCGTGGAAGCCCTTGCTTTCTCTAGCGCAAGCTCTTCCAACTCTTAGAGAGGATATAAGGACGTAAAAAGTTCTGTTTAGAATTCCGTATTCGAAGATACGCCAAAGCCAAGAGTTGCCTGAGAGGAAATACCCGTGCGCGTTAGACGCTAAGGGCTCCGACGGGGAGCGGAGCGCTGCTGCGGAGCTGGAGCCTTGGGACGTCCCGGCGCGGCGGCGGAGAGAGGGACCGAGCTACGGAGCGCCTCGCTGGGACGGAAGGCTCGAACACCGCGGGCACGAGCAGGAACGAAGCTCGGAGGTCGGCGTGGTTTATTGTATGTCAGTTCTTCTGAAGCAGAGTGAGACAATCACGGAACAAGTAAAATATTAACTATATGAAATAGTAAAGACACCTCTCCGGACAGTCGTCTTAATCCAGAGAGTGGAGTGGGTTTAATAAACATTTCCTCCAAAGTACCTATAAATGTTTTAAAAGAGCTCTATTAAATGCTTTGGAAACCGTAAGTTGAAGGAATGCTAAGTCTGTGCTGCTTTTTCATAGAGAAAAAAAAAAAAAAAAAGCATAGTGTTTATCAACGACCTTAAAAATGAATTTGATTCCTTGCACTCTCTTTTTGCATTTCATGAAATAGTAGTCACATTAATTTCAAGAACCGAGAAATAAGAGATTTGAAAGAAATCCATCTTAAGGTGTAAAATGTGGTTCAATGAAAAGTATATTTGCCTGTAATCTCAGCACTTATGAGGCTGAGACAGAACATCGTTGCGAGCGTGAGACCCGCCTAGGCTACATAGCAAGACCCGGTCTAAAAAAGAAAAAGATAAGTTATACTTGACTTTAGAAATCCTGTTTGAGGATGTGCCATAGAAGGGAGAAGGACACTTCCAAGGTGAACTTGAATTGTTCCTTTTTTCTCCTTTTCACATCTGATGGATGGATGCATGCATGGATGGATGCATGGATGGATGCATGGGTAGCTAGATTTTTTAAATTATTTTTATTTTCTTGGCACCAGGAGTCAAACTAAGGACCTTGTGCTTGCCAGGCGGGACCTTGTGCCACTGCGCTAAATAACCAGCCTCTTTCTGGGTGTTTTTGTTCTACCTTATCCTCCAAGTTAATAGTTGTGGCCCCTCCAATAACTAATCTTAGAAATCATTGGAAAAAACAATTGGAAAAGTTCTTGTAGATGCTTAAAAATAAAAATAAACACCTCCTTGTTTTTTGTTTTTGTTTTTTGATATGGAGTCTTGCGATATAGTCCAGGCTGGCCTCAAACTCACTGTGTAGCCCAGGCTGGCCTCAAACATTAGATGATCCTCTACCTCAGCCACCAGAGTGCTGGGATTCTAGATGTACACCACCACACCCAGACTTACTTTTCTTTTTGACTTGCTGCTGTGGTGTCATTGTCATTTAGTTCTCAAGAAGCAAGTGTCCATCGGAGCCGAGCATAGCGTATGCCTGTAATTCCAGCACTTTGGAGACTGAAGCAGGAAAGGTGTTCACACCCACCCTAGGCGTTGTAGTGACGAGCAAGACCTGCCTCAATATAGAAAAATAAAATGGGCTGGGGATATTGTTCAGTACATCTTCAGAACAAACAGGCTGAGAATATGGGTCAGCGACACAGCGCCTACTTGGGAAGTGTGAGGTCCTGAGTTTGATTCCTAGTACCCAAAACCACAAAAGACTGTCTATTGGTACTTACTGATGAAACTACTATTTGTAAAACAAGAATGAAGGAAACACAGTCTTAGACCTAAAGATGGAAAGTACACAAGAAGTATTTGGAACAATCAGCCAAAACTGTTCCTCTGCATCTCCTTCCTTCAAGCATCAAAAGGTTCTGTCCCTGCTGTTGCCTCACACATAGTAGCCTTAAAAATGGGACTATTCAATGGGTAAAATCAGTCCAGTATTTATTTATTAAAAAATTTTTAAAAATTTAATATTTACTAGAACAACAGAAAATATTTATGTAGCCTCTTATTAAGAGTAAAGAATTCCTACTAACTCATTTGTTGATCTCACAACTCAGATGTAGTTTTCATTCCCACTCAAGGTGTGGACCCTTACTGACTGCTTACTGTTTACCAGAGTGGGGTCTTAATGGAAGCCCAATTTTCTTCACTACATCTACAGTAAAACAGAGCAGAGCTGGGTGTAATGATGCATGCTTATAATGCCAGCTACTTGGGAAGCTGAAGCAGGAGGATTCGGAGCTCAAGGTGAGCCTGGGAAACTTAAAGGGACCCTGGCTCAAAAGATTCAGAAAAGAAAAAGGAAAGGACAGTATGGTAAAGGACTTTTTTTTTTTTTTTTTTTTTGCTAGTGTACCTTTTTTAATTGTCATTTTAGAACTCCCCACCGTGGCTGCCCCCACCCTCCAATGACCAC